AACTTAGTTGGGATTCTAGTCAAATGACCATTTCTCTCCATATCAAAGAAATGCCTTTTTTTCCTTTTTTTCTTTTAATTGAAATTAAACTCAGAGATCTGTATTCCCCCAGTGTGAGTGGGTCCTTGTCTAAATAAGATATTTCTGACCACTGAGAAATTACAAGAGAGCTACGAATTTCTGCACAATCTGACTTTTCCGATTCTGAATACAATTCCAAAAGATGGACACAATAAAATTATTTTTCTTCATGTACATATCCTTCCCTGTATCAAAAATTGAGATTTAATTACTCTCTTGTTGAATATAGGAAATGGCTAATTTAAATACTCAAATACAGTAGAAATCATATCTGAGAACTAAGATACCATATAAAACTTTTCAGTTGAAAAAATTAAAATCACATATTGGTAACATACTCCAATAATGTGGAAAACAGCCAATGGTGATGGTTTAAGCTAGTACCTGGAGATTGAGGCAGAAAGACTACCATTAGTTTGAAACTATATTGGGCTTTGTAGTAAGTTCCAGGCTAGCCTGGACCTTTGTGAGACCCTATTTCAAAAACAAACAAACAGAAATGTAAAACAAAATAAAAAGAAAATGGAAAATGAGTTTCTCCATCTGCTTCTATCCCCTGTTGTGTGGTGTTTTTCAGAGGCCACTTATGGTAGATTCCTGTCTTTCCTCTGTTCTACTGCTTCTTATGACTGCGAATAAAGCCTCTGCCCTAGGGTCCTCCTTGTTTTTTGGAGGACTATAGATTTTGATTTTTGTTTAGAACTATAGATTTTAGTATGTTTTTCCTATATTATATGGCTAATATCCACTAATATAAGTGAGTATATACCAGGCGTCTTTCTACTTCTGAGTTAACTCATTCCATATGATCTCTAGGTCACAGGCAAATTTGGACAGAGCTCAGTAAGTCTTATAGAAGAAGGATATAGAAGGACATGGAGGAGACAGGAGCTCCACAAGGAGACCAACAAAGCCAAAAAAGCTGGGCCCAAGGGGGACTGCAGAGACTGATGGATGTATAAACCAAGGACCATGCATAGAGAGGACCTAGACCCCCTGCACAGATGTAGCATATGGGCAACTCAGTTTCCATGTGGGTTCCCTAATAAGGGGAGAAGAGACAGTCTCTGACATTAACTCAGTTGCCTGCTCTTTGACCACTTCTTGGTGGGGCAATCTAGCCATGCCATGGAGGAAGAAGATCAAGGAGGTCCTGATGGGACCTGTTAGGCTAGAGTCAGACTGCAGGGGAGGGGACTTCCACTATGAGTGGACTAGGGAAGAGGGATAGGGGAGGAAGAGGAAGGGAAGGTAAGACAAGGAGGAGATTAGGTAGGGGGCTACAACCATGATACAAAGTGAATAAACTGTAAATAATAATAATAATAATAATAATAATAATAATAATAATAATAATGAAATTTTGTAAATATAAGTAAAAAATAGAAAATGGTTCTAACAATTCATATAGCACTGAAAAGGATGAAAGTGCCAAGAATTTTCTATTGGATTCATAGCACAATATAAAGACAGAATAAAACAGAACAATATTCAGAATTTTTTAGGAGAGTTAAGAGGACAAAGACTAGAAGACAAAAAACAAAACAAAACAAAACAAACAAACAAACAAAAACCACCACCACCACCAACAAAACCCTGGAGGCTTTATCCAGTCTTTCCCAGCAGCAGAACTTCTCTCAAAATAAAAACTGTATCAAGGCAAAATACTTGTTAGGTTGTTTTCAGTAGTGTACAACATTACTACCTTAAGGCAGAGTTATGGTCAATAGTGCAGTTAGAAAAACTTTTAATGATACTTCCAGAGCATGGACAAACAAATAAACAAACAAACAAACAAACAAATAAAGCAATTTCCTATGAATATCAATTTCTGCACACTTCAGACAAATGGCATGACAGCATCAAGACTCCAAGACCCCAGAGAATAGCTCTGAAGAAAATAGAAGGCCTGGAGATAACATTGTCCAACAAGGTATAAACCCCCATGAGAATAACTGAGGAGGCTCAAATTTCTATCACATGAAGCTGACTCAGGCAGTTATTCAAAACCAAACAGAACCCATATGACCTTACTGAAAGGAAGGTCTCACAGCCTAGTGTCAACAGCTAGAGGACAGACCATACACATTCAGTCCCTTACAGCCCAACTAGAACACAAAGAAGTGATATGCTGAGGAAAGACTGTAACAGGAAGAACTAATTGCCAGAACAAAGATCAAATGTTTTCATGAAAAAGCACTGAGTATCTGAGATGTGAGAGAATTTAAGACACTGCAGCTTTATTCGTAATAGCCAGAAACTGAAAAACAACCTAGATGTCCCTCAGTGGAGGAATGGGTACAGAAATTGTGGTACATTTACACAATAGAATACTACTCAGCAATTTAAAACATGGAAATCATGAAATTTGCAGGCAAATGGATAGAATTAGAAAAGATCATTCTGAGTAAGGTATCCCAAAAGCAGAGAGACATGCATGGTATATGCTCATTTATAACCTGGTATTAGCCATATTAAATAGGATATACATACTAAAATCTACAGACCTAAAGGTTGTAAATGACAGGGAGGATCCTAGGAAAAATGCTTAATTCTCATTAACATGGATAGACAGGATAGACACTAGAAGTGGCAGAAGAGAGGAAACAGGACTGGAGCCTACCACAGATGTCCTCTAAAAGACTCCAACTAGCAGGGGACTGAAACAGATGCAGAGACTCACAGCCAAACTTTGGGCAGAGTGCAAGGAGTCTTATGGATTAAGGGGATTATAAAAGGACCTGGAGGGGACAGGACTTCCACTACCAGTGAACCAGGGAAGAGGGATAGGGGAGGGGGAGGGAAGGAAGATGGGACAGGGAGGAGATGAGGGAGGGGGATAAGACTGAGATACAAAGTGAATAAATTGTAAATAATAATAATAATAATAATAATAATAATAATACATTTAACAATTCAACATTGTATTAAACCAAAATCAACTTAGTATTCTAAAGAAATACATAACAGTTAATTCTACAATTGCACTGTAACTCCAGTCAAATTGTCCTTTCATAAATCTGAATTTTTAATGAACTTCAAACCTATGTATCTTCCTTGCACTACTAACTGTTGAACAGATCACTTGCTTCTTTTATTCATTTTTCTTTTGTCAAAGGGAAACCATGTTTGAGGAATTACATCTATGTTCCTGTAACTACTCCAAGCTCCTCATCTTCTCTCTAAGTTTAAATGTATAAATCCTAGGGTTCGATCCAAGGCCCACATGGGATATAATTTGAGGAACATAGGAGTAAGACTGGTGTGTTTTGCAGATATGGACGACAGGAATCCTGGTAGTCAGACAGCTTATACTGGTAGTCTCCAAAATGGCCACCACTGGATTCTGTCTATGTGACTCTAAATCTTAGTGACAGGCTTAATGAATATAATATGCAAGAGTCCATATTTATACACACCTGAAACACAATCCTGAGAAATTGCTATTTTTCACATTTACCTTAGGACTATCTCAGAATCTAGTTGCCAAACTCATGTTAAGCATTCCACCAACCCTCAAATCAACTCCCAGACATGTGAGTTAACTGCTTTGGAGTCTCAGTCAAGGTGAAACTCCAGAAGACCACAACCAGAGCCACAGTCTGATCATACTTCATATTCCCGGTGGACTACCAGCAAAGACTTTTCAGTGCAATAAGAGAATTTGGTGACAAGGATATTCTTTAGCATGGAAAGTTTTGAGTTTTATTTGAAATATTATAGGCCTGGGTTATATTTAAACATACAACTAATTTTATTTTATTTTATTTTTTCTCTTTGATAGACGAGTGTCTATTGTGGTCTTGTTGAGTAGCCCTACGGTTAGCTTTAGTCAATACAAGAAGGGCAGAACTGAAATTATTTCATCAGCATAAGTGCTAGCCTATAAAATAGCCACGTTTAGCAATCGAGGTAGATTTCTTGATCACTTTTGCTACAGAGAAAATGTCACACACAGAACAACTGGAGACCATAAAGTATAGTTGATACATTAAATAAAAAATCCTTATTGTAAGCCACAATGACCATGGACTATGTCATTCTAGCACACATTTGAATGACCTCACTGATGTTATGCCCCATGCCTTGTCTTTAAGTCTTCTTCTAAATTTTAAAATATGTAAAATCTAATCTGAGTGGGACTGGATGTGTTGTGAGATAATAAAGCTAGTCTCTATATAAATTCTTGATTTCAAAGTCAACAGTGAAAAATTTCAATCTCTTGGTATCTGATGACTTAGAGTTATACCCATATAATTTGTATTAATAATTCTCTCACACTATACTACAAATGTCATTTGAAATTCCAAAATATCTAATCTCTAAGATGATATTCAACCTTCTCTGTTCCATTTATGCTTGGCCTAAAATGCCTAGAAATCTCCTACCTTAGTGCTGGAAATACAGGTATCAGACACTATACTACAGAAAAATACATTTTGGACTCAGTATGAAAAGATAATATAAAAACACACGTTTGTTAATAGATAATTATGCAGTGTTTATTTTGTAAACACAATCTTTCTGTACCACTTAAATAATTTTAAATAATATTTATTCTTTTGCATACAAGAGCACAGATAATTATTACTATTTAAAAATTCAAAAATAACATAATAAATTTGGCTTTTCCCCACAAAAATGGGAAATGTTTTAGTAAAGTTTTAATTATTTTTTCATACCAGTTAGCTGTGGCTTATAGTTCTTTAAATTATGACACTGAAAAAAAAATCAGTAACAAGAACTGATTAGTATTTAAAGAAAACCAACTTACAATATTATGGTTAAAAGGAAGGAACAGAGCTATTCAGAAAACAACATTTAAAATAATTTTCAAACAGAAAATCCAGTACAGCATAGTTTGCCCCTAACATCATGGAGCCCAATAATAAATAGAGCAATTCCAATATACAAAGATATAACAAAATGATACAATTATTTATTGCGCATCAACAAATTAACGGTTGTCATAATGTGTGCAACTTAAATTCCCCTCCTGTTGATAGAGTGGCTTCTTATTCCTTAGACATACAAACGCTGTTCTTCAGTAGAAATATGAAGTCTCTTCATGAAAGGCACATACTCATCTGTAAAATGAATAAAAAAATATAAATAACACTTCTATATAAAGTCTACAATACATTGAAATATTCAGAAGTGTTGAGGTTCTAGCATAAAACTAAAACCATCTTTATTGTATGCTACTGTGGATGAGCTACATGGTCCAAATTACTGTTTTAGATATTATCTTTGAACTGTAACCATAACAATTTAAATTTATATACAACACTGAGTAATAAAAATTTGTGTTTATGTTCACAGTAATGTTGTCCTCACAGAACATTAACAAATGATTTCAATGGACTTCAAAAGCAATAGTTTTCTTTTTTTTTCTTTCTTTACAGTTTTTATAAATACAGTTCTTTAACTCTGTTTTTTGGCTTTTGAAATAAAGATCAAAGGCCATAGGTCTGAAATCATATCCAATAAAAAAAAACAATATTTTATATATTTGTAGTACAGTAAAAGAGAGAGAGAGAGAGAGAGAGAGAGAGAGAGAGAGAGAGAGAGAATAACAAGCAATATAAAAGACAAAGTTGTTCTGGGTGTGGAGGACCACCATAGAATTCATGGTGAGTCTGGGCTGCATAGTCAGACCCTGTCAGACAAGTGAACAAACAAACCAAGGACAAGTTTTTCAATAAACACAAAAATTTAGATATGTGTTCAGTTTTTTCTTAAATAATTATAGCAATATGAATCTTCATTCTTATTCATTCCTCAATGGTCCATATAAAAGATCTCAAAATAACACTCCACTTGTTTCTTAAGTAGCGAGTCATTTTCAAGTCACAGAAGTGCGACAGCATCACTCATTTATTCAAAAGCCTGGGGTGGTCTGGGAGCACTCTTGAATGACAAAATCAGTCTCTGGAGATTAGTTTCTGCTTTTACACAACTTTCTTAATGTGACTCCAGCTACGATAGATTGTTTTCCATACTCTATATTCAAAGTGTGAAATAAGTGCACACTTATATAACACCTTACCTTGGCTGGAGCTTTCAACTCCCCTTGACACATAATTTCCTCATCTCCCACAGGATCTTATCTAGCTGTCTTATTCACATTTAAAAATAACTGCAACTCAGATATCACTTCATCAATATGCCCTTCTCATCTGCTATCCTTAACTTCAGAAAAACCAAGACAGCATTAGTATTACATGAGAAAAAAAAAAAAACCCAATTTCCTCTTCCTGTAGAAATAGTACAGACGTTTTAAAAGGTGTACTGGTAGATGGGAGTCTAGAGGGCACAGTACACTTTGGGAGGGCCAAGTGCTGAGAGCTGTGTCTATTAAAAGGTTATTTTCATCAGGGATAGACATTGAAGCTGGAAAGCAACTAGGACAGACTGTAGCCACTGAAGACAGGACTGCCAACATGACTTGTCCTATGAATGGGAACACCTCGTGTGAGATAGGATAATATCCTAGATAAAGCAGTTCAAGAATTTATGTGATGATAAAATCTATCACATACCAACAAGTACAACTACAATCAAAAGCTGCCAAATTATTCAAGAGATGAAACATACAAAAGTGCTTGGAGATGGTAAGGAAAATACTTGCATGAAGTATCATTATATTGTCAGGAGTTAAACTGGCAGCTATTTAGATATTTTGGTGATCAGCATAAAAGCAACAGAGCCTTAGATTAAGTAATTTATTTGTTCTAAGTTCTTCCTAGAAGTTGCCATAATTTTTTTTTAATTATACTCTCACATAGCTAAAGATGCCTGTGAATTCTTGATCTCCTTGTTTTATTTTCAGAGTCAACAATATTGTTTAATGTTGGGAAGCTGGAATGATAGTGATAAATTAATAAATCAATTAAAAGAAAAATCTTAAGTCTCTATTTTGTAGGACAGCTGTACTTGTAAAAAAAAAAAAAAAAAAGTACCCATATAGTTTAGAAGTCACGTGCAAGACAGGCAATCTTGACCTGAAATAAAATTGTAAACTACCATTTAGTTAACTGGTTGCTGGAAATTCTTAAAACATTTTTTAAGTGAATCAAACTATAATTTGCAAGGGAAGATTATTGTTGATTTTTAATGGTAGGATGTGAACAAGCACAGACTACAAAGTCTCAAACAGGGCCAAGAGTTTAGTAATGCAGTCATAATGTGGCAGTGACTTGTTCAGGAAGAAGAATTCAGCATCAAGAGACCTGTCTAAGTAGTTCTGCTCTCTAGGAACCGACACTCAAGTAATGTCAGCCCACCACATTCTACAGCATGGTGCATGTCACAGTACTGTTTAGTCACGCAGCCACACCACCAGCACTGTAAAGTCCAGCTAATTATTGCATCTGTTACTTAAGTGAAATCTGTTTTCTGATTCGGACAGCTAGAAAGTATAAACAACTAGAAAGTATTTTATGATTAGGTATCTTTACATACAAACAATCATGAACACCTGCAATATTAAATTAAATGTAGCAACATGAAAGTAGTGAGGAAGTAAATTTACAGTTCTAAAATGACATACTTGACACAAATTGCTAGCCTAGCATTGGAATGACATTAGTACTAGCTTTTGAAAGCTGTTTCTTTAATTTAAAGTTGTATTGTAGTATATATCATTACAATAATTATTTTATTTTTGATAGAAGTTAAATTTAACACTGCTAATATATTATTTCTATTTGATTTTTGTGCTGCTCTAAACTGTTTTAAGCTTCTAATGGCATTTTGTCTTAACTTTGTTTTTCTGTGTAGCCTTAGCTGTCCTGGAATTCACTCTGAAGACCAGGCTGGCCTTGAACTCACAGAGATTCCCAGCCTCTGCCTCCCCAAGTGCTGGGATTACAAGCATGCCACCATGTCTGGCTAGTGGTGTTTTTTTTTTTTTCCCTTTTTTTAGTGGTAATATGCTCTCTGTTCTCCTTAGTTTCTCTGTCCAAAGAAAGAAAAAACTCCACCATTATTTAACACCTGATTTGTTTGTTCTTCCCACACTTACAGTTCCTTTATAAATAGTACCAAACACCAACTGTATAAAACTGTTAAGGAAGAAAATTCTTCTTCCTCTCTGGAAATGAAACTTCCTGGTGCTTCTCTCTCTTTCTTTCCTTCCTTTTCCTCTTCTCTTTCTCTTTCTTTTTCTTTCTTTCTTTCTTTCTTTCTTTCTTTCTTTCTTTCTTTCTTTCTTTCTTTCTTTCTTTCTT